TTTTTTTTTTTTTTTTTTTTTTTTTTATTAAGTTCATATAAGAAACATATAAAATGATGGAATGGAAGAAAAAAAAAAAAAAAGAAGTGGCACGTGCGAGCCAACTCAAGTCTATGGTACACCAAGGTGGACACGTGTAATGGGATAGTTGTGGAAATTCCATTCCCAGTCACGTGCGGGAAAAAGAAAAATAATGGAAAACAAAATATTAATTAATAAAATTATCGTGTAAACTATATAGTAAAATGATTAATTTGAGTTAATTTTAATTTCAAGCTCCATAGGGTCACATGATAATGATAATGATATGATATTAAATCATATTAATATCTCCTTATAAACATTTACAGCATAATATAATTTTAATCACAAAATAATGGAATAATGAATTTATTAAAATAATAAAAAGCAATTATTGGAGTAATTTCCGGTTATAAAGACAGGCACGTGGCAGATTGGACATTCGATTCAACAACGTCCAATATTCTTCCACATGCATTCTAAAGTCATAATATCCTTTCCCTTTTATTTTATTTTATTTTATTTTATTTTATTTATTTATATATTTTTTATTCCACACATGGATTTGAGAATCAACTCTCTTTTCCTTTTTCTTTTCCACTTTTATTTTTTTAATTAATTTTTTAACCTTTTTTTATCCATAGTAGGTAAAAAAAAAAAATCTAATATGACCAAAAATATCAAAATTTTAAAATTTTGTTCATCAGCCACCACCGACACTCGGGTTTTGTTTTCGGATGTAAGGTCATAATCAAAATATAATATAATTTAATATGTATACTGTGTTTGACATTAGGGTTTTGTTTTCGGATATAAGGTCGTAATCACACTGTAAGTGAGTGTTATTACTTTAATTTGGGTTTTGTTTTTGGACATAAGGTCGTACTGTTTCAGTAAGATATGAATTTTACCAGGAATAGCTAGATATTTGTTCAAAGGTTAGTCCTCCTCTTATTCACTAGCAGTGTTCGAACACGAATAGACTTACAAAAGAACGAAGAAAATCATGTGGGAGAAAATGGGTCATTGAATATAAATAGGGCAAAAACAAACCCTTTTTCTTCTGGGTATTTTTGTCGTGTTCAGTGGAAAAATATGACGACGTTCGTCTAGATCTCAACAAAACTATCGGTTTTAGAAAAATAGTGACAGACTTTGTTTTGAATTGTATTATCGTCGAGATCAGATAGTGATTCGTCGGAAGAAATTAAATTGTCATAGGTGAAGATTCGAGGCGTAGAAAATTTTAGTCTTTGCCTGGCGTCGCCAAATGAAACGGAACGTTTGAAATTTTATATTAAAAAAATAAACTTTTAGATTAATATATTATCTTCAAATTTTTTTTTTTAAAATTAAAAAGATAAAAAAATCAAATAATTCACAGAGAAAGCAAAGCATCATTAGTGGAAAAAGGCAGTGCACGTGATCGATGGGGCAAAGCATCTCACAACCCAACAAATAATTGCTTCAAAGGTCAACAAAATCTGTAAAATCACCAACTTTCAAAACGACGTCGTTCCCAATTCCCAACCGCCATTTCATTTTTCGACCGTTATCGTTTCGCCCAACCCCAATAAATAAATAAATAAATAAATTTATTAACGGTCAGGACGAAAACGACGACGTAATAACTGTTGGATTGTCATCCAAGCCGGCACCCGAAATTCTTGCCATAACTGCCGGTGGGCCCATTTATTATTGATACCCATTGGCCCACCGTAATTAAACCAAAAACTGAGGGCAAGATCGTCATTTCGTACAAATAATATTATATTTACACACATTATAAAACCTTCTTTAATTCCAACTTCCTTGGCATCTCAAAAACTGTCGGCAGGGCGCTGTGGACCGACAACTACTTTTCCACTGTTTTTTTTCCCAACCTGGTAGTTCACGGCGTCGCCGCCGAGTTACAACCACCGTCAACATGCAGCTCCGCCGTGGCCATGCTACATTTTCGTCTTGTGGGTACTTATGGAGTGGGATAATGTTGGTGAATATGGTCGTGATGGGGAAGTTTCTTCTCGTTGAATCAGCTCGGCCTCAAAACCGTACGTCAGCTTCTCATTGGCTCCCCGCCACCGCCACCTGGTACGGCAGTCCCGAAGGCGATGGCAGCGACGGTCAGTAAAATTAATTACTTGTAATTCAGTTATTAATTAAATTTTAATAGAAATTAGCATCGTTTTTTATATGGGTTCTTACTCGAAAGAATTTTATTGATATTTTTTAGTCACGAATGTAAGAATTTAAGTCGTAATTTTAGAGGCATAATGGTTTCAGGTGGGGCATGTGGGTATGGTAGTTTGGTGGATGTGAAGCCATTTAAGGCGAGAGTTGGTGCAGTGAGCCCTGTCTTATTCAAGGACGGTGAAGGGTGTGGCGCATGCTATAAAGTCCGTTGCTTGGACCGAACCATATGCTCCAAACGAGCCGTTACCATAATAGTCACCGACGAGTGTCCCGGTGGCTATTGCTCCAATGGTCGCACCCACTTCGATCTTAGTGGCGCCGCCTTCGGCCGCATGGCTGTCGCCGGTGCCCACAGCCGTCTCCGCGACCGAGGCGAACTCTCGGTCGCCTACCGACGGTACAGTTCTAATCTTTTGATTAAAATTATAATATTTTAATTGAGCTATACTCACGTTGATACAAAATTTTTAACAGGACTCCATGTTTGTATCGTGGGAAGAACATAGCCTTCCATGTAAACGAAGGTTCTACCGATCATTGGCTCTCGCTTTTAGTCGAGTTCGAGGATGGTGATGGAGATATTGGTTCTATGCAAATCAAACAAGTAAGCTTTTAATATCGGGTTATTTACGTGATTGTGATCTGTAACATTTATATTAAATCGTTCGTAATAAATGTAATAACTATAGTATAATAAACTATATATTATAATGGGGAGATGTATCCATGTGACAAAGGGGCCACAATAGAGAAAAAATATCAAATTCAAAAAAGGGTAAGAGACAACACATAGTGAGCACGTTGAAATATAATGATATAGTTTAATTTTGGGTTGTCGCCATCTCATTTTGACTTTAATATACTTAAAAACTATATATTAAAAAAAATACATTATAGTTTAATAACTTTAGCTCGATATGATATGATATGATATGATAACGATGTGTAGGCAAAGTCGAGCGAGTGGATGGAAATGGCACACGTGTGGGGTGCGACGTGGTGCATAAATGGAGGACCTTTAGAGGGGCCATTCTCGGTGAAGCTAACCACGTTATCCACTGCCAAGACTCTCTCGACTAGAGATGTTATCCCGAAGAATTGGTCACCGAAGGCTACTTATACTTCTCGTTTGAACTTTTTATAAGAAATTAATATTTTATTTTAAGAGAGAAAAAAAATTAAATAATAGTAATAATAATGTTTGGGTACTATCCTTTAGAAGTGGTAGCCATCTCCAAAGGGAGAGAGAGCGTATGTATTTTTGTTTATGTCGGTGTTAATTTTACTATGTATTTATATATATTTTTAATTTTGTAATTATAATTTCACTCGACTACGTTGGTGTTGGCGTTGAATCTTGTTAAATTGAAGCCGACGACCCCAAAAAAGTTTAAACTTTTGGGTTGGAGGCAGATTAACAGGCTATCAAAGGTAGAAGATTGATCACGTGCTCAAAAGCCCGGTAAAGTTATCTCTTCCTAAATGAATATCGACAACAACCTGTAAGCTTCTACGGGAGTGATAATTAAAAGGGTCCAAATTTTAAAGATAAACAATGATTTATCGAGACGTTTTCTTAACCTTACAATAGCGGAATAGATATTATTAGAAAAAACAAAAATAAAGACGGGACACGTTAAATAAAGATAAAGGACATAAAGTCATCACCTCACATGCCAAACTATATATATAGTAGAGTGTGACCACCTAAAACATGGGAGGCTAAGATAGGATAACACTAGATAATATGTTGGATTGGGGCACATGGGGCTCGGCTAAGTGAGCGATTTCGGTGTCGACGACGTATCTCTTTGTAGATATTTGATTCAAAAGTTAGGATTTTGTTTGATAATCATTTAGATCCCGTTAAAATATCATCACTGACTCAATAGGTTTGTCGAGACGTGGTTCGAGAACGAGGATTGAATACCTACAAAGCTCGATGAGTCAAAGGTACGAACTATTATTCATTCGTTAAAGCAACCTATTTATACTCACACTAGATCTATCCCACCTCGGGTGGAGAAAGGAACGAAGCAAGGATGTGAAACCTCTCTCTAATATACGCGTTTTGAACCGTGAAGCTGACAGGAATACGTAAATGATAGTTTTGCAAAGCGGACTCCTTGGTCAACATGAGTGTGTTGTCACGGCTTCCTTAGCAGTCCCTTAGCCGTGTTTTAAAGCCATCATTTATAAGGGTGTGGAAACCTTCTCCCGAAAGGGAAAGTCGGAGAACAAACCACCGACGCATTTTAAAGTCTTGAGGGTAAGCCGGAGAACAAACCACCATTTATAAGAGTGTGAAAACCTTCCCCTAGCTTTGAGTAAGCCCGAAAGGGAAAGCCCAAAGAGCACAATATCTACTAGCGGTGAATCTAGGCCAATACAAATGTGAGAGCCAAACCCCGAAAGGGAAAGCCCAAATAGCACAATATCTACTAGCGGTGAATCTAGGCCAATACAAATAAGAGCCAGGTTTAGGGTTTCCCTTTCGGGTTTCCTCTCAAGACTTTAAAATGCGTCTACTAGGGGCTCTTTCGGGCTTCCCCTCAAGGCTTTAAAACGTGTCTACTAGGGGAAGGTTTCCACACGCTTATAAATGGTGGTTTGTTATCCTCCCCAGCCAACGTGGGACATCACAATTTTCATGGCCACCACGTCCCCTCATGTGTGAGTAAGAGGTTATTCTCCTCCTCAACTTAGAACCATTAACAATCCCCCACTCAAACAAAGTACACTATACAACCTCCCTTGAGCCTACACTATAGAACCGTTCACTATAGAACCTCCCCTGAGCCCTATTAAGCTCTCAAATAACCTCCCTTTAATTAAAACTCAACTTCTTCTCTAAAGCCCTCAAACATACTTTACCGGACACTTCAGTCCCTTTTACTACACACTCGAGAGCTCATACTTATAAACCCATGATCATCCCGAGCTCCCTCCCAACAAATCTCGTAACAATTTGATCATATATATATAAAAATAATATTATAAAGGTTAAAATAAAGAAGAATCTCCCATTAAATGGCCCAAAAATGAATACCCACATCGTTACAATTCACAAGGTAGCACCGTAAGTATAATTACTCGACAAAATCCCAACTGTCTTGTTTGGGGACAAATTATCAACCACCAACGAACAATTCACAAGAACATTGATCTTCCTCAGCGCCAACCCTCCGATCACCACCGTCACCGGAACTTTCACCGCCACGAGCAGAGGAATCTGCCCACTATGTCTGTTCTGCATCAGCGCCTCTTGCAGCCCCGACCCAAACTCGCTAACCCCACTTAGCAAAATGCTTATATCCGTCACATTCCTCGGCGGTTGCCGGAAATTAGGAATCTTTCCGGCGCAGAGCATTGAATCATTGTAAAGAACAGAAACAGAGCTTCCTCTGCCGTAGATGAAGTCAATGTTTTCATTTGGATTATTGGATTCAACGATCACGATGAATTCTGTGTAAAGGCTGAAATCCTGTTTGACATTGAAGACGTGGACGTTGAAATCGGCGACTTTGTAAGAAGGGATTTTGGGTCTGTAAAACGTGACGATGAAATAGGCGAGGCTAAGTAGAACAAAGATGAAGAAACAGAGGAAAATGTAACAGATACAGATGCATTTTAAACAACAATGGCTGCCACCGCCGCCGCCGGCTTTGGTATGGTATCTGGGGACGTTGCGGCGATAGGGTGGAGGGCGGTGGCTGGTTTGGTGGTTGTTGGAGTGCATAATATATGTGGGTTTTGTCGGGGATTCTTCCATGGGAAAGGGTGGCACAGAGATGGGCTATATTGGCTATTGAAGTTTGAAGGGCGTTGACTGTTTGATGGCCATAGATCAAAGTTTGAGACAGGATTGAAGGGATTTGAGTGTTGTTTTAGGGCATTGTTATGTGTTTGTGGATGAGAATCAAACGAGGTTAAGTCTATCTGTTTCGTGTCTATTTTTAACACGGATGAAAGTAATGGCTAGCTTTTTCCCGACAAAAATCGATCATATACTTTTGATCTCTAAATTTTCTGTAACCGTCCAAGCCCACTACTAACAAATATTGTCTGCATTGCGGAAAATTCCCTACTGCTGCCTCCTGGAGGAGTTTGAGCCGTGTCTCAGTCCCAGTGTGTCTGATCATCCTCTTGGACCAGCTACTGATCATCGTCTTGGTAAGCTATTGCCTTACCAACTAGCTAATCAGACGTGAGCCCTTCCTCGGGCGGATTCCTCTTTTTGCTCCTCAGCGTACGGGGTATTAGCAGCCATTTCCAGCTGTTGTTTCCCTCCAAAGGACAGGTTCTTACACGTAACTCACCCGTCCGCTACTGGAAACACCACTTCCTGTCCGACTTGCATGTGTTAAGCATGCCACCAGCGTTCATCTTGAGCCAGGATCGAACTCTCCATGAGATTCATAGTTGCATTACTTGTAGCTTCCTTGTTCATAGACAAAGCTGATTCGTGTTACGTACCACTGTTACCTTGAGGGGAAGGTCTAAGGAGGACAATATCTGCTTGCAGTGTGCTTGAGTTGTAACGCTTTCATAAAAGTAACCGGTTCGGGATGCGGGTAGACTCTTTAGGCTCGTTTTGAGTTAGAGCTCGGCTTGTTAGGGCACTTTTTCATCTTGAAACGTCTCGAGAGAGAGACAAACAAAAGATCCTATGACTTATTCCTTAAATCAATGATGTTTCAGAGTATATTTTGAATGTTGTCTGCGACAATAATTTCTCTTCTATACCCTCGTTTGGTACCAAAAACACAGAGCAAATAGATGGAAATGGTCCATGGCATAGGCCATTTATGATAGAGACAAAGATTCATGACACTTTCAGCTAGCTCTCAGAAACAACATTAATGCCATTCATATCATACTGAGGATTCAAATTTATTACCCTCTCTCTAAAGATTTCAAAATTTTCGAGTGCGCGCTTTTGTATGAGACAGACAGTTTTACACGGTTGGACGTATGAGAGAGAAATTATAAAACTACGGAACATAATTCAAATGATCATATTGTCACGTAAACTGATGTATTCACAGAGCTTCTTCGGACCCTAAAGAACTCACCACAGTCCTCCGTGAGAGCTCTAATCCTAATCTTCGAACCATCCGTGGCTTGAGAATATCCCTCCATGAGCAAGCCCTCGAGGCATGTGGTCACTAGAAAACGAAAGGAAATGTATAACAGTCCAAGTCCACTGCTAGTAAATATTGTCCATTTTGGCTAGTTACATATCATCGTAAGCCATACGGTTTTAAAATGCATCTACTCTGGAGAAGATCTAGCCCTACTCCAACTAGTGCTTTGAACCATCCAGTAACGGGCTCTAATACCATTTATAACAATCCAAGCCTACTACTAGTAGATATTATCCGCTTTGGCCTGTTAATTATTGTTGTCAACCTCACAGTTTCAAAACGCGTCTGTTAGGAAGAAGTTTCAACACCCTTATAAAAAATGTTTCGTTCCCCTCTCCGACCGACGTGGGTTCTCACAAAATAAAAGAAGTGAAAATGCCACTAGAGTTGCAACGAAAATGCTATTCTAAAACGCTACGAAAAGTAATATTTCTCATCGTGTTTATATCCCGTGATTAAGTGATTATCAGAGAACAGATAACGATTTTTAAAACAAACAATAAAATTATAACGATCTCGTTGAATAATTGGTCGGGTTTTACTCCTTTTGTTTGCATTTAATGGTGCATTGATTGTTCTTCACGTTTAAGGAGACACTTTCTATTCTGATCTTGTTTTTTTTCTCCTTCTTTGGTGGTGTTGCTTTTGGTAGCTCGGATTACCTGTGACCTCATCACTATAACTCAACAAAATCTTGCCTTTTGCTTGTGACTTGCTTCAATTCTCTCTCTTTTCCTTCAAAATATCATGCCTTTATATATCCTCTTCATTTCCTTTGCTTACCCACTTAAAAAGGAACCATTTTTCTTCACTTTTTACTCAAAAACCATGAAGGGTTTGCCTTGCTTCTCTCTAATCTTCATTGCTTTCTTGTTATTCCCGATACCCATTTCGTCCCGACGCATTTCTCAGCTAAATTCACGTACTCACACTTACCTTTCTTGTTTCTTACTGATATCTCACATTAGTTGGAGAGGAGAACGAAACACCCTTTATAAGCGAAAACCCGAGAACCTTGAGGGGAAACTCGAAGGGAAAAACCCAAAGAGGACAGTATCTGGATGAGTATCGGTGCTAGTAGATATTGTCCTCCTTGAGCTTCCCTCAATGTTTTTAAAACGGGTCTAGTAGGGAGAGGTTTCCACACCCTTATAAAAAGTGTTTCGTTCTCCTCTCCAATGTGGGATATGAGATATCACATTTCTTTGGTGCAAACATGGACTAACCTTCATGACCCTTCCATGCAGGTCGTGGCCACCACCACAAGGCGGCAGTCGACTCGGTCAGGGCGGTGGAAGCAGCGAAAGGGAAGTCGTACTGGCCCGTAACGAAGGCGGTGGCAGCGGCGGTGATGGGGAGAAAAGGCCCGGAGACGGTTGAAGTAGCGGGGTCGAGCTTGCCGGATTGTTCACATGCTTGTGGCTCATGCTCGCCGTGCAGGCTAGTGATGATAAGCTTTGTTTGTGCTACGCTTCATGAGGCGGAGACATGTCCAATGGCTTATAGGTGCATGTGCAATAACAAGTCATATCCTGTTCCTTGATCCAAACCATTTCAAACCCTTTTCTACACTGTAAAAATATATTGACTGTTGCCCATCTCTTGTTTCTGTTAGTTTTTTTACTGCCAGTTAGAGTTGTAATCAGAGAGCTTTTCTACCAACTTTTTTGGTAACTTATTAGGTATATGTTTGTGTTTTTAGTTTAGGTTTCGATAAACGAGAATGAAATCGACAACGTTTTAGCTAGGGTTTGACCCGACTAGGGACAACTGTTACGGGTGAAATTATTGATTGAGTCGAAACCCCATCAAGAGTAAAAGCCTAAAGATTGAGGGTCGGACAACTGTTACGACCCTTGAGGTTGACCTCACAAGGTCAACTATCGATTAAGAAAACTAAAGTTTGAGTCTTGACTACTATCATTTAAGAGACCCATTTGAGAGATAAACGGATCGAGTCATAGTTCAACCTCCTAAACGTTGTTCATACTTAACGAGCTATAAAAATCGTAGAAAAATTATAACACTCTATTATGACGATGGTTTCTAAGTGTGAGATTCCACGTCAGTTGGAGAGGGGAAACATAGCATTTATTATAAGGGTGTTGAAACCTCTCACTAGTAGACGCGGCGTTTTAAAATCATGATGCTGACAGCGATACGTAACAGACTAAAATGGACAATATCTGCTAGCAGTGGGCTTAAGCGGTTACACTAAGCCATTGAATAAGTACAACAAGTCAGAAGATGGAAGGGTACATTCAAAGCACTCACATATTGCTCTCTCTACACCTATTATTGACTCAATTCGTGACGTGAACGTTAGAGTCGTGGTGGTTTATCATCACATCCTCGTTAACCTCTCTCCGTTTCATAGATGCATCACATGGTTTTGAATCATATAAATTTATGGCTTAAACGTTAACTAAAATTTGATATCGACTAAGCTCGAGTTTATTTACTCCAATTATTGTGGGCTTAGGCTTCTAATTTGTCTAAGAATTCAAAAAAAAGCCCCCCCGACACAAATTTGGCTGTGAAGCACTCGTCTCTCTTTTTATTCACATGACTCAATTTCATAAACGAAGCTTCTACTTCAATTCAAGAAATTATTCCACTCATGCTTTAGATATCGTATTGACAACCATGTTGCAATGACTAATAGTATGAGTATCGTCTTCGAAAATTAAGAAAGAACGAGTATTATACTCATTCATAGTCAGCATGTCAACATCATTTAAGAATAATCATTGAGAGATGTCAACTTTTGGTGAATGTTCTTATCGAATTTTCTACTTAAATGGTAGTTTTGAAACTTATTTTTAAATACGAGGTAACACGTGAAACATATGGGTTATGTTTCTGAAATCGTCACAAATATATGATTAAAATACTGAATATATTAACAACTATATCTTAAAAGTATGGTATAAAATTGATGGGATGAAATACTATAATGTTCGGCCTATTTTGATATTGATCATTGATGCCGTTTTTTCATGTACGCAAATCATCGTCTTTCCGCAACAATTCTTATTAGTCTCTCTCTTACCCATTCTGTGTGATATATCTCGACCAAAGTTTCTAATTCATTTGGAAGGACCCCACGAACAAAAAGGAAAAAAAGGGGGTTATATTGGGACGAGACAAGACTCGACGGGACGATGATTGATTGATTCATTGATTCATTGTGTGTTAGCCACGACGCATGCTTGTAAAGAAGTTGAAGTCGTGGTGTTGAACCTTTGACTGTTTTAGCCACGACTCCGCCATGCTCGACAGTGACATGAGCCTCTCTTGATCCCGACCGTCGTTGCCCGCCATCCATAGGCTCCCTTGCATCTTGTACGTCACCACCCCAAATGGTGCCAACGGTATCCCTTCCCCTGGTTCCCTCGTTCGTTGCCTCGTCATTCTACTGCACTCCTCCTCCATCTTCTTATCTACCAACCACCATTAAAAAAAAAAACCATATTTGGTTAAAGAAGTAAAAATATAAAATAATATTCAATGTACATCCAAAAAGCTCAAAAAAACACATTAGGTGGGGCCGTCTTGTCAAACAAGACAAAGATTTGATAGGACAAGAGACCAAGAATATACTCGTTGTCCTCAACTTCATTTAGCTCACGCGGAGAAATCTATTCTCACTCTCTTCTTCATTCTCTACTCAGCCAGATGAATCAAGTGAACATCTCTAATTAAAACATATCTTTTATCTCGAACCTCGATCAATATCTGAAAGAACAAATCGAGCTTACGAAAACATAATACCTTGAAACGAAGACGAGAGAATATGATAAGTGAGGAAACAAGTGTTCAAGTCCTTGATATTTCTTCCCATTGGAATGTGATAAATTGGGTACCTACAAAAATGGTTCCTTTAACACTCCACAAACAGAGCAACAGAAAAACAGAGAAACAGAGTCTCAGAACATTACCAAGAAACAGACATCCAGCTTGCTGGAGAAAGATCCACACTTCTTAGTGTCATCAAACCTGGGAATCTCCGAGACAATTCATTGATCTAAAAAGGGTCACGAACAAAAACTTCAAAATGAATCTAAAAACAGTAGATTTGATGAACAAGACAAGAACATGAACATGAACAACAAAAACCAGATTGTTCTGTCGAAAGCACCTTATCCAGTAAAGGGAGTCTTACATACGGCGTTGATTTCTCAATGAACTCAAAATAAAGATACCCCAATCGAGCCTCGTCATCTGAGGAAGTGCTTCCAGCTTCACAGTGACAGTCACTGCAAGAATCCCCTGTTTCTCCATTACCAGACTCTGTTTTTAGCCTGAAAAACAGAGCATTCCATTTCAGAACTCTTCAAGATCAAACAATGAATCAAATTCAAAGAAAATACCTAAAAGAAGTGAAGATTTGAATGCCAGAGAGATATGGAACATAATATTGATTCAATGATTCTCCATCGCTTAAAGTGATTGGAACTTTGGCGCCATAAGCACTCCATTCAGCATAGCAGTTCCAGAGGTTACTCAAAGTGAAATACTCAATTTTTTCTCTCTCAAGTGCATGCCAGAAACGATTGAGCTTCTTGATTTCTGGCTGAAAATGGTTAAAAACAGTGAAAAACCCATTGAAATTAATGAAATCAGCTTGAAAATTAGCTTACCTTGAGAAGGAATTGGGATTGAGCTACTGGAGTTGTGTAATGGAGGAAGCTATCCAAACAGGACGCCATTTTTGAAGCTTAATGGAACAGGAGAGAGAGAGAGAGGAAGAAGATGGTTGAAGGATGAGAGAGAGAGGATTCTGTTCTTGGATGTTCTTAAAACAGTAAAATCTGACAGAGTATAAGAACAAAAACAAAACAAGAAAAACCCTTTTCCCTGTCGTGTTCTTCCTTAAATCACTCGGATTCTTAGCTGGTAAAGGTGCAGAAACTCTTGAGCTCATTCATACAAGCAATTCGTTTAAGGAATTGGACTTTTGTTTATCCATAAATCAAGCAACCCAGAATCAAAAACTCCGATCGATGAAAAAGGGTTCGAGTTAAAAGATTCTGGGACGTGGGTTTTCGTTAAAAGGTTCGTTAGTCTTTTGGAACGGTTAAAATCGTTAAATTGATCTTTTTGTTGTCGTTATTTCATTTTTTGTAACCGCGTGTACTTCTCGAGAGAATGATGAAAAAGGGTTCGAGTGAAAAGATTTTGTGACGGTTAAAACCGTTACTATCATAAAATTAATTTTTTGTTGTCGTAATTCCATTTTTGTTACCACGTGCTTTTATTGACGCTTCATGCTATCAATAACCCTTTTAAAGATTTACCACGAAGAAAGTACACCAACAATCTTCAATCGTTCTCTCCTTGAACAAAGTACACCATAGACCCTCCCTCGAAGCTTCCTTTTTTGGAGCTCTCCAACAACCTTCCCTCTTAATCGAGACTAACTTATTCTCTAGAGCACTCAAACAAAAGTATACCCTTTGTTCGACACTTGAGTAACCTTTGACTACACTATCAAGACTCACAACTTCTCTATTCGACACTTGAAGATTCTATTGTCATGACTAAGTTAAGGACATGACTCTGATATTAGATTGTTGAACACAATGCACTCTTTGTTAACACAAATCCCAAGAAATCTCAAGTAATCTCCGGAACAATCGATGAGCAATATTCAAAAAAATTTAGAACGGACTAATAATATAATTTTATACTTTTTTCTCGACATAATTATCATCAAAATATTAGGAGAAAATCTAATAATGTATTAATCTCGAAGCAATAATCACCGAACTATAGAATTTTCTCCTCTCGTACATTCATCAATTATGAACCTCTTAAAGATGCAAATAGAAAATTAGAAAAAGAATAATTAAAAATTCCCTCACTTAATTGTTCATCTCCCTCTTGACAGAGCCTTCTCCGCCGTCTCCATCTCTTCCAAGATCCTGGCCTTCCTCTTCGCCGGAATCGGCGCCGTCGGTCCAAAGCTAACGTAATGCCCCGAGACCGCATTCAAAGCCGAATACATATCCCTAAACGAAGCTCGTCCCAACAGAGATTTCTCCTTCCTGTACTTCGCCACCCAAGAATTCGAACTTTCTCGAAGCTCCGCCACGGCTTCCGCCACATTCGGGTCGTTTTTGTCCATTTTGATCGTCGTTCTCACCTTGCTTATCACCTCGTTTGTGTCCTTCACGTACTCCTCATCGTTCGAGGCTTGTGCCGGCGCCGGAGGAAGCAGAACCCACGGCGCTGCTAGAACAGAGGCGGTTAGTGACAGTAGCTCGCGGCGGCGCGGGTGGTGGATGGCGGCGGCGGAAATGGTGGATTTGGGCTTGGGAGGGATGATGAGAGGCTGAGATTTGGAGGTACAGGGAGTTAGGAGTGTTCGAGAGGCCATGATTTTGGGGCAATTGGAGAGGAGAAATGGAGCTGAAAAACAGAGATTTTTAGCGAGGAATTTGGGGAATTGGGTGTTCGCCACGTGTACTTATCATCTTATCCTATTTGTCGGATTTATGGATGAGGAATGGACCAATGAGATACGAGGTTTAGATCTTCTGTCTCTTCTTCATTGGGAGAAAATGGGCTCAAGCCCATTAGAAGGAAGTTGGGCCAAAGTACTAAGCCCAATTATGAAGGAATTTTGATTTATTTTATAATAATAATTTAAATAGTTTAATACAATAAATTTTGAAAATTCTCTCCTCTAATGCAATGGTTATCGTCCCCCGCTTACGCACCGAGCAAAAGAAAAGAATTTGAACCCGAACCCAAATTTTTTGTCTCACAACAGTTGTGTTGTTCAAACAGTGAGTGCATTTCTCGGCTCTAATAGTGGGTCACTTATTGTACATTTATTAACAAAAATTTAGATAAAGACAAAAGCACCGTGGACGGGTGACCATGGGTGCTATGCGAGTTATGGGAGGGTCTAATTTTTGCATTTGGTTTAGAATCTAAATTCAAAACTTTTCTCGACTACTTTTCAATCATTTTACGTACAAACGCGTTCGACATCCAATGTGGACTTTGTTTAAAGCTTTTTGACTAACGAATAGAAAATAATAATAATAATAAAGACAAAAGCACTCATCCTCTTTTCTCCTAATCTTTTTCCAGGGAAAATAACTTTTCACGTCGTTTTATCCACATGGGACCAATTCTATCAATTGTCATTCTTTTCAAAGTCGAGATTAAAGGAATAAAGGAAAAGAGAAAAGGTTTATATGATTTAACGCTATTCGTCTACGTTCGTCAAAACAATTTTTTACGTTTATATTTGGATCCCTGATCTTTAAGAAATATCAAGTTTTTGAACGTTTAAATTTGTGCGTAAGAGCGGCTTGAATTCTAAAAACATCCAACACGTGTGCTCGTGGGGGTTGGGTTGAGACATTTTTAGACCCAACCCAATTGTTCGGAGGGTAATTTTTTTAACTCAAACAACTCTTATTAAATAATGAATCAAATCTCATTTTGACCCACATCAGTTGGTGAGGAGAACAAAACATTCCTTACAAGGGTGTGAAAACATCTCCTTAGTAGACGCGTTTTATAACAGTGAAGCTGACGGCGATACGTAACGAACTAAATCAGACAATTTCTACTCTCAGTGAGCTTGGACTGTTACAACAATTGTGCGGCATCTACTCATGTACTCAAGTAAGCCAGCCAACTTAGTTATGATTGTCGTTGGCTCGAGCTCTGTATGCTTAAGCCTCTAGCCCTACTCTTGAAAAATAGTTTTAGAAAAGAGGTTGAAGAAAGTTTGGAAAGTAATGCTATAAGCTAGCAAGTAAACACATCTCTTATAGTACTTAAGTATGACTATGACATCAGACATGTAACTCTAGACAACATGTTTTGGACAAGCACGATCATAACACAGTGGTATTTGTTCCCGTCAAGAAAAGAAGCATAACGGGAGATGGGTCTCTTGTATTTGCAGTTTCCTTCCGAGATTCATGTTGTATTTACGGGCATACCCTATTGTTCGATCGAATATTGGCCGGGATGAACCCAACATGCATAGAGACAACAAACAATCTCATGGACCCAACTCCCAAAATTACACTGTAAAGTAGAAGCAATCCAGAAAAGAAGGAAACCACTTGCCTTGAAGAGAACAAAAATGGCCAAATGGGAAAAACACCAAAGCAAGCACGGGCAGTAGCTGACTCAAATCAAACAGAACAAAATATCTTGAATTCAGAGACCGTTCTTTTCATTTCAGCCGTTGGATCTATTTGGTGGTGGGGTTTCGTCTTCATTTCACGTTTGTGTTCATTAATTATAACAGATACCTCTGAAAGTTTGTACAGTTTCATTCAATTTATGGCGTTTTCAGCGCCCAAAAGGAGAAACGCTCTTCTGGGATTCTCTTAGCTTATCCAAACAACGCTCTGTTCATCAGCCCTCTCTCTCTCTCTGCCTCTTTATTTGACCTAAAATCAAAGCCACAGGCCCAAGTTTGGCTGTTTCTCGTCCTCTTTTTCGTTTCCCTTTGCCATTTGTTCAACGTTGCTTAATGGGTGTGTTTTTATTTGCTTGAATTTGGTGTTTTTTGGTTTGGTTTTCCAAGAACCAACACAGTTTCTTTGTTTTCTCTGATTTTGGTTGTGTTTTTGTACAGATTCTTAGTCGATTTTGGTGAAGAAAACGGTGGAAACCATGAAATTTTGAACTTGTAAGTGTTCTTTTCTGGATTAGCCATTTTCAAGCTTGAAATCAAGTAAATACTTGATGTTCTTGCTTGATTCTCTTGTGTTCTTAGCTCATTTGAACAAATGGGGTAAAGGGTCTCGAGGGATTTTCTAAAAACCTTGAGATTTCCGAATATTATTATTGTTTAATGATGTTTTTCTGTCTGTCTCTCTGTTGGGTTTTCTGGTTTTTTGGTGTTTCAACGTGTTATTTGAGATCTAATCTAAAAGGGGAATCTTGTTGTTCTTATTTAGATTAGATGATGCTCTTTTGAAGCTAAGAAAATGGGTGGTTGTGTCTCAACGAGTAGCCATAGTACTAGTAGTAGCCAGAGCAATGGGGAATCAGCGTCTTCCTCGTGTTTGGGAATTGAATTTCGAGGTCGAAAACGAACGAAACGAACATTTTCCGACCATGTTTACGCTCTTCAAAAGCTCTCTTCAGCTCCCAACAGGATCTTCATGAACGGGAAGAGTCGTTGTTCGTGCATTTTCACGCAACAAGGTCGCAAGGGCATCAACCAGGATGCCATGGTTGTGTGGGAAGTAAGCTCTGTTTCTGTTCTTTCATCCATTGAATTGTTGTCTTTAGAGGTTCATTCTTGCTGTTTCTATAGGATTTCATGTCAGAGGACACGATCTTTTGTGGCGTGTTCGATGGTCACGGACCTTACGGGCATCTCGTTGCTCGAAAAGTTAGAGATACATTGCCTATAAAGTTGCTGTCATTCTTCCAGTCTCCTCAGTTGAAGCAAAAGAGCTCTGCTAAAACGTGTTTCCAGAGGAATTTGAAGACGCCTCGAGAATGTGACGATTCTGAGAAGGATCGTTTTGCCGAGGACTCGCTGAATTCGGTATGGAGAGATGCGTTTTTGAACTCGTATAAAGCTATGGATAAGGAGCTGAGATCACACCCTAATCTGGACTGCTTTTGTAGTGGTAGCACTGCAGTCACCATTGTTAAACAGGTTTGAGAAGAAGGATGTTCTTTTCAATCATTTTTTGTTTCTTTGATTCATATTCGGTCGTGTTTTAGGGGTCGAATCTGTTCGTGGGGTATATCGGAGACTCTCGTGCAATCCTTGCTTCAAAGGACGTCAATGACTCGACTGTGGCGGTTCAATTGACCGTCGATCTTAAGCCAGATTTGCCGAGTACGTCGGTTGCTGTGTTCGGTTTTGGTATTTGATTCATGAGCTAAGTTGTGAGTGACTGATAATCATCATGTTGTAGGAGAAGCTGAAAGAATCAAAAGGTGTAAAGGTAGAGTTTTTGCATTGCAAGATGAGCCTGAAGTGTCGAGGGTATGGTTACCTTTCGACGATGCGCCCGGTTTAGCTATGGCTCGAGCATTTGGCGATTTCTGTTTGAAAGAATACGGAGTTATCTCTATACCTGAATTCTCTCATCGAACGCTCACCGACGCCGATCAGTTCATTGTTCTTGCATCAGATGGGGTAAGTTTTCTGTTCGTCAAGTCTTGAACATAACATTTTAATCTGAAAGGAAGCAAGATAATGTAGAACTGTTGCAGGTATGGGATGTGTTGAGCAATGAAGAGGTGGTTGAAATAGTGTCCTCGACCCCGACTCGCTCGTCTGCTGCGAGGTCTGTGGTTGACTCTGCTGCTCGTGAATGGAAGCTCAAATACCCCACCTCGAAAATGGACGACTGTGCTGTCGTCTGCTTGTTTCTCGACGGGAAGATGGACTCTGAATCCGACTGTGAAGAACAAGGCTTCTCATCTGCAACATTGCGGAGTAATCATTCAGGTACTGCTGTCGAATCCGACGATGGCCAGAGGTCCGAGCCATGCTTGCAAAGGAACAACACTGTCAGGTCATCAGAAGATAGCAGTAGTTTTGGAGGATTACCAGTCGACGAGGGGGAGACCGGTGATGCTGTACCTGCAGACGATCAAAACTGGTCGGGTTTAGAAGGAGTCACTCGAGTAAACTCGCTTGTTCAACTTCCTAGATTCTCTGATGAAAGGCCAGTGTCATAGGTTACAGGTTCGTGCAGCTACATTTTTGCCTCCAAGGAGATTCAAAACATGTCGAGAATCAGTTTCTATCCACAGAACGTAAATGAAATAACTCGACTAAACTCATCTCGAACAGACGAAGATGAAGAACTCGATAGTTCGGCTGTTCCATCTATTAGAACAATCATTCAGAGAAAACTTGTCTGGGAACAAAAGTTCATTCAAAATGATGATAGCTTGCACATTGTTTCAGATAACAATCAGTTTCAGGAATAAAACAATAACTACTCTAATCTATCATTTCGAACATTTGAATCCGTTTACTTCTGTCGATCATGTCTAGTCCTGAAAGAACAATCAAGAAGTCGAATCATATCTCGTGTTCAAGTAAACCACTTGAAAGAAACAGTTTCAATGTTAATAACGACTTGCCTTGTCTGGTCGACTAATCGATGAAGCGTCGTTTTCTCCCGTTGATGACTCCGATATTCGTCCTTCGGATTTCTCATTCGAATAACTACAACGACAACAAACACGTTCAGTTTTGATCCTCGAATCAATGTTAGATCAAAAGAGATGTCCTTGAATGAAATTTTTGATACTCACGTTGAAAGGATGGTGACCCAGATGAGCTCCACACAGTCCACCCAAAGAAGCCTTTGCTCGACAGGAATAACACCATACGTTATGAGATGAGCGAATGGCCAAAGTTTCCAACCTGCCTGTCATGTAAATGGTCATAGAACACGAACAAACACGAACAAACTCGAACATTATGTTGGATAAAGGTCAGAGACGTATCGTACTGTGAGCATAGGCCAAAACGTCGACTTGAGTTCACTATAAACATCGGCCATAGATTCGGCACGAAGAATTCCCAGAACCACATAGTATATACTATTCCATAGAGCCGACCAAACGGTTTGATCGAACGCAACTTTTACTGGAACGACCCACCAATCTTTGAAGGGGAAGAGAACCTATTAGCCATTAAACAATCTCATTTATGCATACCATGAAGAACTAGACTAAGCAATACAATTGAACCATGGTTAGCACCTCACAGAATTGGTAGTAGTAGTGAGAAAGAGATCCATGGAGAGTGAACCCAACAAGACCTGATCTGATCATGCGTGCCCTGTCGAACTCAAACAAAGGCCTCCCTTCATAGCACTGTAGGTTCATAATGTTATTGCTAGGATAGCATTGTTAGACGTTAACGACAACGACAACGACAACGATCTGCAGGCGCTTACCTGAGCGATCCAATCTCCGAGAAAATAGACAATTCCACTTATCATCATTTTGGCTAAAACTGGGTTCGTTTTGAGAGCTTCTTCATAAGCAATCCAATTGTGTTCAGGAGCATATCTTAGCACCTCATACAAGGTCCATCCCTGAGAACACATGACATAGAAATGCGATAAACGGTGTTCCAGTCTTAACAATGGTGAGATCCCACGTTGGTTGGGGAGGAAAACGAAACATTCTTTATAAAAACGTAGAAACCTCTTCCTTGCAAACGCGTTTTAGAAACTTTGAGGGAAAATCCGAGAAAGACAATGTCTACTAGTGGTGGGCTTGGGGATGTTACAACAACAACGAAGCATTTATCTTCACCTGATTTACCCCTAGGAAAAGTAGATTTTGTCTCCATGTTTAGTTCCATATTACATGACATTATCTATAACGGACCAAGCCCACCAGTAGCAAATATTGTCCTCTTTGGGCTTTCCCTTTCGGGTCTTCCCCTCAAGGTTTCCACACCCTTATAAAGGGTGTTTCGTTCTCCTCTCCTACTGATGTGGGATCTCACAATCCACCCCCCTTCAGGGTCCAGCGTCCTCGCTTGCACTCATTCCTTTCTTCAATCGACGTGGGACCCCACCAAATCCACCCCCTTTGGGGCTCAGCATCCTTGCTGGCACATCGCCTCATATCCACTCTCTTTGGAGCTCAGCCTCCTTGCTGGCACATTGCCTGGTGTTTGGCTCTAATACTATTTGTAACAGCCCAAGCCCACCGCTAGCAGATATTGTCCTCTTTAGGTTTTCACTTTCAGGCTTCCCCTCAAGGTTTTTAAAATGTGTCTGCTAGGGAGAGGTTTCCACACCCTTATCAAGGATGTTTCGTTCTCCTTTCCAACCGATGTGGAATCTCACAATACACCCCCTTCGGAGTCCAGCATCCTCGCTAGTACTCCACCTCATGTCCACTGCCTACGGGGCTCAACCTCCTCGTTGACACATCCCGGTGTCTAGCTCTGATACCATTTATAACCGCTCAAGCCCACAATTAGCAAATATTATTCTCTTTGGGTTTTCCCTTCCAGGCATCCCTCAAGGTTTATAAAACGCGTCTACTAGGGGAGAGGTTTCCATGCCCTTCTAAAGGGTGTTTCGTTCTCCTCCCCCAACCAACGTATGACCTCATATACTCAAGCAAAAAAAGAACTACTTCTACTAATTTAGTAGTAAACAGAAAGCAAAATCATTGGCAAAGTCATGGATGAATGAAACTAAATGACTGAAACGAAGAGTAAACATAGTTCCAATGTGCAAGAAAACTCACATGCCATAGCTCATGATCGATAGTAAGCAATCTAGTAACCAGCAAGGTTCCAACCCCCAAAACAATGGTAGCATTAACAGCTCTGCCACTGAAACCCTTCAAAACTTCCACTGCTCCCTTCTCCTCATTGAAAGAAGAAGAAGATGCCTCAATTTTCTCAGACCCATCAAGGGACAAGCTCTGTTCTCCATCCTTCAAACGATTCTCCTCCAAACGAACCAATTCTTGGTCGTCAATGGCCGACCTAACTCCCCATTTTCTTCTCCTAACAATCGATCGGACCAAATTTTTTGTGGGTCTTGTTTCCTGATGCTCTTTTCGGAATGAAGAACTCGAATCGATTAGGGTTATGGGCGATTTTTTGAATAGAGGGATCCTTTGCGAGACGAAGCTGTTGATTGCCGCCATGGAAGACCAGTAATCAGAGATTACCGATGAAGACTTTCAAAACGCATAACAAATTTAAGGATTGTGAAACGCAATATATTGAAGGGGATCAAATAATCTGATCCTAAAAGTTTCGTAACCTGAACGATTTCCACGAGCCATGATGTGACGGCCAAATAAATGATCTCCATTAGCCACTAAGAACAAAGGGTTAGCTCATTCAACAGGCTTCTCGAATCGTTCTTCTAATGGACGGTAGAGTATTTAGCCGACCAATAAAGGGTAGCAATCTTCGTGGAGATGGATACAATTCTGCCGCCATTTTTCTTGACGAAACACGAAACAAAAGGTGAAAATAAAAAAATTATTTTTCTATGCTAATTAATTTTTTTTTATTACTTTTAGGGGTAAAGAAGAAATTATAATGCGACAAATAATTAAAAATAAAATATTATTTACTTTGTTCCCTATTCAGAATACTTTCTTACTAGTATGAATTTAATGCTTATATTTTACTCTTCTATCAGCTCAATTGCCCATCTCTTGTTATTCCAAGAAAGGGAAGATCGAGGGACCAAAGAGGTAATTTTGTGAATTTTGAACCCGAGAAAAAAGGGAAAGAAAATGATTTTAAAAAGAGGTCCTACTGAGATTTGAACTTGAGTTATTGGACTCCTAACCACTAGACCATGAGACCATTTGTTAACATAGTAAAAGTTAAGAAGTTACGTGAGATCAAGGGATCAAAAAGGTAATTTTGTGAATTTTAAACCGGAGATCAAGGGATCAAAAAGGTAATTTTGTGAATTTTAAACCGGAGAAAAAAAAAAGAGAGAAAATGAGTAAAATATAAGGGCCTACTCAGATTTGAATTTAGGTTACTAGATTCAAAATCCAATGTCCTAACCACTAGACCATAGAACCATTTGTTTTAATGGAAAGTAGGGACCATAAAGATCATTTTTTGAGTTTTGAACTCGAGTAAAAATAGAGAGAAAAGGAGAAAAAAGAGGTCCTACCGAGATTTGAACTCGGGTTACTGGATTCAGAGTCCAATGTCCTGACCACTAGACCATAGGACCATTTGAACTTGTTCAATAAGATTATCTCATCAGGACTTTGATTTTAACTCCCTTCACCACTTTTAGCGCGCAAAACCCCCCATGAGAAGAACCCTGTGGAAGGCGGCTCCATTCCTTTGCTCTTCATCTCGACGCCTTCATTCACTTGATCGCAAATCATATTCTCTGAATCGAAATGGGAAACTTTCTTCGAAGAACTCAGATTGCAATGCCGCTTGCGGTTTCTTTCCAGTGGCTCCTTCGTTGCCGCCATCTGAGAGTAAGCAAGCGACCTTGTTTGCGTTCGTCAAAGGTACCTTCCGCCCCCTTCCTCTTTGCTGCAATTGATGTGAATATCTGTTTCTTGAAATTTTATTTAGTTTTGTTAATCCTGATTCATTGAATTTCTTTTTACTCTTCAAAATCCATCTATGGATTCCTGAAGCTGAAGTTGATTACGCACAAATTCACTTTGATTCGATTTCCTACCCGCTCCCACCTCCCGAATGGATAGAACCTTTTCTCGATGTTTCTGATGTAGTTTCGAGCTATCAAGTTTTGAATCTACTTGATCGGCCTTCGAACATGGAAGCCGATTTAGATTCTTTTTGTCGCAAGTTTTTCATCAAGTTAATGCCAAATTTGTTTTACAGTATGTTCAGCTTCGGGATTGGAGGATGCCAAGGAATATTTTTAACTTGGTAGAAATAAATTAGTGGGAATCAATGCCATGTTTAATGCGAGTTTAGTTGATGGCCTTGGTAAGGCTGTGAGAGAATTGAAGATGCAGACAATCTATTTGAAGAAATGTTCAAGTGCTCGAGATTCATATTGTTGTAAGGCCATTATGGATTCTCTAGCCAAGCATGGGAAGATCGATCAAACAGTTTGTTCATACACAATTCTTATTGATGGGCTGTGCAAGGAAGCATATAACTGAAGAGGCGACCACCCCCACTGTAGCCTCTTTCCGAGCTCTTGCCATGGGTATGTCTTTGCCACAAAGGAAGCATACATACCAATGGAGATGTATTTCTTACTTGTGAATCCATGATCATCCCCTTAATTAGTCAATAGGGGACTCCATCCCAACCATCCCCAACAATCTTCCCTCGAACAAAGTACACCACAGAGGCTCCCAAAAATCCCCAACAATCTTTCCTCGAATAAAGTACCCCATAGAACCTCCCATGTAGCCTATGGAGCTCTCAAACAGCCTACCCTTAATCGAGACTCGACTCCTTCTCTAGAGCCCCAAACAAAGTATACTCTTTATTCGACCCTTAAATCATTTTTTACTATAATTTTGAGGCTTGCAACTTCTTTGTTCAAGATTTGAGGATTCTATTGGCCTAACTAAGTTAAGAGCATGACTCTGATACTATGTTAGAAATCACGACTTTTTACAATGATATGATATTGTCCACTTTGAGCATCAGTTTTCGTGACTTTGCTCGTTTCTCCAAAAGGCCTCATACCAATGAAAATGTGATCATCCTTTTAATTAGTCAATGTAGAGCTTGCAAAATCTTGGACGATCTATCTCCAATGGGTCTATTCCTGAGACAGCATTTGAGGACATGATCCACACATTGTGCAAAGCCCGACGCATAAAAGAAGCTTGTAAATTGGCAGATGGACTCGTGGATCGGAGTAAAGCTTATCAATGCCTCGAGGAAGGCAGGTAATTCTGGGTTAGCCATCAAACTGACGCTTAGTAAGGTTGGTATTGGATATGATAGGATGGATTGTTCTGATTGAATTTTGAATTCTTTCCAGCCCTGATGCCAATATACTCATTTTTATTGGCTGTTTTCATGCTTTGGCCGTGACATCGACCAAAGCAGATAATATCTATTAGCGGTAGACTTAGATGGTTACAAATGGTATGACATCGAGTGGTGTGCCAGCAAGAACGTTGAACCGGTGGATTGTGAGATCTCACCTCGATTAAAAAGGGGATGAAAACATTTCTTGAAGAGAAGTCTGCAAGGAAAAGTCGAGGCTAAGTCGAGGCTGTTGATATCTTATTATCTAATTGGCTTGGGACGAACAAGAAAATTTCTTAGTTTTTATCACTAGTTGAATGAATCCATTGTTTTCACCCGATTCCTTTAACTTCGATGCAAACAAGTTACAGACCTTGGAAGTTTCTGGCTGTTTCGTATATTTATTCTCCATTGATCCTCATTCTTCAATTCCCCCGCCTTCACTTCAAACTCCTTTCCTTTTATCCATATGGGGTCTCTTTCAATTGCCTCCACCTCGCCATCTTGGCCCCGGCCGGAAACCCACCGGCCATTTTCAAGATCTGTGTATCTTATTGCGGCAAAGATGCTTCACAGGGCACCAACATCTCAAACTGGATCGATTGTTACGACCCACAAGAAAACTCATGGAACAGAGTTACTACAATCCCTGGGCTTCTGAAAAACTATGCTCTTAAAGGCTTTTCAATGGTTTCGATCGGAGATTGCATATACGTCATCGGCGGTCGCCTCTGCGAGAAAATGACGTCGGCTGACAACCGGAGAACCAGAAGCGAGCTGGAAGTCCGGCGACAGGTTTTGCGGTACAACGTGAGTGAAAATATGTGGTACGATTGCGCACCGCTCATCATCCCTCGATTCGACTTTGCCTGCGCTGTCAATGGCGACAAGATTTACGTCGCCGGCGGGATATGTCAGCTCAACAGTGCTACTGGAATGTCGTCTGCAGAAGTTTATGACCCGACGGTGGACGAATGGCAATCGTTGCCGGAGATGAGTGCTTGCCGCCACAAATGTGTCGGAGTTTCGTGGCAGGGGAAATTCCATGTCATTGGCGGATTTGCCGGTAACAGTGATTACACCGTCAATATGGAGAGGAGTTCTGTTGAGGTGTACAATGGTGATGGTTCCCGGTGGGATCTGATCATCGGAATGTGGCAATTGGACGTTCCGCCGTATCAGATCATCGCCGTCGACGAGAAGTTGTTCAGCTCCGGCGACTGTCTCAATACATGGAAGGGACAGATCGAAGAGTATGATTGGAATTTAAGTATTTGGAGTGAGGTCGATGGATCTCGATGTGAGGCTCTGTCGGCGACGAATTTTGTCACGATGGCGGCAGTCGGTGCTTACCTGTACTTTATTGCTGGGCGAAGGATGCCAAATCAGCCTTCTAAGATGACTTCGGTTGTCCACGTGTTTGACACATCAGCAAATGGTGACGCGTGGACGAGAATGCTGCCCGTGGAAGAGGAGGGAGTAAAGGAGCTTTGTAGCCATTGCTGCGTGGTAATTTTAGGAGAATAATTAGGAGAAAAAAAAATTATATTTATATATTTTAAAATTTTTAAGATTAATATTATAAATTAGATTAAATTAATAAAATACCCATAAATTTTGAAATTGGTCTAAAAAATACTCTTTCAAAACTTTCAATAATATCATTAAACTTTTGAGAAATTTAAGGTATTTTTGAAACACTTCTAAAAGTTAAAGGGCATTTTTAAAACTATGGTGTGAGTTTGAGGGAATTTTTGAAATAAAATATTTACCGTCTCTATCTAAAACAAACAATAAGGGTATTTGTGAATGAGAGAAGTTTCTTGTAGTCTGTGCTATTTATCAACGAAAGGATTCGAATCCCTCCCCTTTCGTTCGACGACTAGATTTGTTTGCTGCTCGCCACTCCCCGAGACCAAGGATGGGGTTGAACCATCATTCCAGAATTTGCTGGGACGAAACCATAGTGGATGGCAAAACGACACCTCTTGGGGTATGGTGGCTTGTGTTGTGCTGTCATTTTAGATTCACAGAGTTCAATTCCCTTCTAGTAAACGGAAAAGCTTATTCTTCACTTGCATTCACCTATATTAGCGGGCCTATTCCATCTTAGTGTTCGTCCGCCCCAACGTCTATAAAAGGATTACGTATGAGAAATATTGAAACCGTCCTTTTGAGTAGTATTGCTACTGTCTTTTTTGCAGCCTTGAACTCAAAGGATTAAACTCAAACGCTACTTGAGACCGGACGATTCCACAGCGAAGCCATTAGGCGAATGTTAGCTTATTAAATGGGCCAAAAGGTGAGGCAAATGTGGGCCCAATTATGAAGTAACATGAAGCCCAAGCCCAACGTGCAAACACAAGCGTGAGAGAGAGAGAGAAAAGCAGGTGCACAGAAACTTGGTACATTCACGTGAGTACAAACTTTCAGACCCGGGCCCACATATCCACATGGTCCGCTTTTCAGACCCACACCTGCTCCATTTCCCTCCCATCCTTGACCCGAATACAATCATTTCCGTAACCAAACAGTCTACTCCTTTAACCCTCCCTCTTATCTAGACTGCCAAATTATATATTTTTTTAAAAATCTATCGGGATCTCACGTGCCGAGTCAGACACTTAAACCAATGAGTGAGCGAAACGTGGCGAAAGATGCTGGGCTGGAGACTGCTGCGTGTGCCATGTTGGCAATGTGGTCCCGTCAATGGCAGGTTGGATCATTGGGGTACGGTTCTTTTTCGACATGTCGTACGTGGGCGGCACGTGAAAGACTGAGACGCTACTGAAATTGAACGACGAATATCTGCCGTCACACGTGTTTGGTAGCACGTGCCGTTCGCCATACCAGATCTCTCTCTCTCATATATTTATACTTTATACACCCAAATGCTTTTTAATTATTTTCTAGACGATATCGTGAGAACTCACATGGGTCGAAGAGTGAAACGAAAACATTTAGTATAAGGGTAAAGATGGGTTTGTAACAAGTCGAAGCGGACAATATCGACTAGTAGTAGGACCAGTGGGCTTTTAGTAACGACTAGCGATAAGGGATCATAATAAACATGTTCGAGATGCAATCAATTCCCATATCTTATCTAAACATTCTCTTCATTCCGTGAACATAAACCATATAACTTTGAAAATAAGTATAGTTTTTAAAAGAATCTCTTATTTCAATGTTTACTAAACAAATCATCACTCACCCCAACAAAAAGTCCCTTGTTTTCTTTCTGAAAGCAACGTTAAAAGAGGCGCGCAATTGACTCATTCACACACTCCCATTATGTAAATAAACCCTCCAAACCATCTTATGGTCTTCCTCTGATCATATTAGCCCTCACCCTTTGTTTCTCTTCGAACCCATTTCCCATTTCTCTCTAGAACCCCCATCTTCTTCTGGGGTTTGGTTTTAATGGGCGGCGAGCAAGAATGGGGCGACATAGCGCCGCCACTGCCGGCGGTGTTGCCGTTAAACCCAGAAAGAGAGGAGTATTGGAGTCGATTTGATGATTCTGTTAATGCGGTTTCGTTTGGGTTTGTAGCGACTGCCATTCTAATCTCTATGTTCCTTGTTATGGCCATTTTTGAGAGGTTTCTTAGACCCAGGACGGCGGCCGACATGGGCCGGCCACCTTCTGATCTTGAAGCACAGATGGTGTTCGATGAAAAGCTTCGTTACCCATCTCCCAAGGTTCTTATCTTCTCTTCTCTGCTACTGCATTTTGATGTTGGCTGATATCTTGCTTGCTTTTCTAAATTCAAATAGTTTCTTTATCTAAGAACACAATAAATTCCTTTGGTGTCAATTAATGATGTCTTGACTATTTTTGAACAGTTTTCTTCTGAAAATTTCTGTATTATCTCTGTTTGCTTACATTAATATGATAGTTTTTCCTTATTCTAGATGTTAATGATAATGGACCCACACCATGTAGGTAGCATGTGTTTTTGTCTCAACTGTGATAGCAATCCAACCAGGAACAAGATTTGAGAGGCAAAACAAGTTCACAAGGCATTAAACTGTGTCAAGCTGCTCATGGTTTCTTAAGCATTAGTAGCTAATGAACTGTGGGATCCCACGTCGATTGGAGAGTGGAATGAAGTATTCCTTACAAGGGTGTGGAAACCTCTCCTTAAAAGACGTATTTTAAAATCTTGAGTGGAAGCCAGAAGGGAAAACCCATAGAGGATAATACTGCTAGTGGTGGGTTTGGGTTGTTACAAATGGTGTCAGAGTCAGATACCGAGCGTTGTGTTGACGAGGACGCTAGGCCCCCAAGAAGGGTGGAGGGTGTGGAAACCACTTAAGGGTGGAAGGTGTGGAAACCACTCAAAGGTGGAGGGTGTGAAAACCTCTCCCTAACAGACAAGGGCCCTAATCGACGATGGAGGGTGTGGAAGCCTCTCAGGGATGGAGGGTGTGAAAACCTCTCCCTAACAGACAAGAGCCCTAATAGACGATGGAGGGTTTGGAAGCCTCTCAGGGATGGAGGGTGTGAAAACCTCTCCCGAACCGACGAGGGTCCTAATAGACGATGGAGGGTGTGGGAACCTCTCAAGGGTGGAGGGTGTGGAAACCTCTCCCTAATATACAAGGGCCCTAATAGACGAGGGGAACAAAGTATTCCTTATAAGATTATGGAAACCTCTCCCTAACATACGCGTTTTAAAACATTGAGGAGAAACCCAAAAGGGAAAGCTCAAAGAGGACAATATTTGCTAGCGGTATGACATTTTGAATGAGAAGATTATTCAATGTCGTATCGATTTAACAAGTTTCGTTGACAATTCAATCCTATACCATTTAATGCATTGTTCATACAAACATAATCACATGCTATGTCTCCCTTTGTGATTACAATATAGAAATATGCACATATTTTGAAGTATTTATAGCTTTAATAAAGTGTGTCAAAGTCTAAGCTGTCACCATTTTCAATATCCTTTCCCTACATTCTATAAGGTATAGTTGTACCATATTAGCATGTACAGCTGAGTTACAATTCTTTATGTTGGAAAGTAAACTAACAGAATAGAAGGAGAGGTCATGGATGATTTCGAATCGGCTTCCACTAGTTTGTGTTCTAATCTTGCACCTCAAGTATCATAAAGTTGTTCTCCTTTTTTTTTTGCTCATAGGCCAGCTATTTTCGACTCAAAAGTCTAAATGGTGATCATTATTAATGAGTTTTCTTTGTTGTTTGAGGACATTTGCTTTTAATCACCATCATGTTTGATCATGTGCCTTTTTCGTTCTCTTCGTAACGGGAAAAAGGCGAAAGAAAAAGGGGAGTGAGGTTGTGAGATCCCACGTCGGTTGGAGATGGGAACGAAACATTTTTTATAAGGATGTAGAAGCCTCTCCTTAGCCGGTTTAAAATCTTTTAGGAAAAACCCAATAGGGAAAGTCCAAAGAGGACAATATCTGCTAGCAGTGGGCTTGAACTGTTGCAAATGGTATCAGAGTCAGACACCGGGCGGTGTGCTAGCGAGGACGCTGAGCCCCCAAAGAGGGGTGGACATCGAGCAGTGTGCCAGCGAGGATACTAAGCCATGAAGAGGGGTAGACACCGAGTGGTGTGCCAACGAGGATGTTGAGCCACGAAGAGGGATGGACACCGAGTGGAGTGCCAGCGAAGAGGGGTGAACACCGAGTGATGTGCCAGCGAGGACGCTGAGCTACGAAGAGGGGTGAACACCGAGTGGTGTGCTAGCGAGGACGCTGAGTCACGAAGAGGGGTGAACACTGAGAGGTGTGTCAGCGAGTACGTTGGACCCTGAAGGAGGGTGGACTGTGAGATCCCACATCGATTGGAGAGTGGAGAGTGCCAACAACGACGCTGGGTCTTGAAGGGGGGTTGATTGTAAGATTCCACATCGGTTGGAGAAGGGAACGGAACTTTTTTTATAAAGGTGTGGAAACTTCTCTCTAGCAAACGAGTTTTAAAAACTTTGAGTAGAAACTCGGAAGAAAAAGCCCAGACGATTCTTTATTATCAACGGTGACTCCACAGTGTTCAACTCATTAAACTCTCTCTCTCTAATGAACAATATGCTACAGAATTTTCATGCATGAATTTCTACGAACAATCATTATTTTGTGGACCATGGACCCATTTTTGCACCGTTTCTGCTAAATTGTTGCAGCAATCTCAGAATCATGATAGTAGCAGCTATAATATAGTTCTTATGGTAATTAGATGAGTAATAGAGAAGCAACCTACTTTAAACTGATACACTTTTTGACTTGACTTGTGTAGATGACTGTTTACGGTCGAGGAGTATCGGTGTTGATGCCTGGCGAAGCGATTCCAACCTACATTGCCCACCCTGTTCCTGCACCGTGCCCTCCCGAGCCCATTTTGAAGCCTCTGCATCCACATAACTTGAGCATCTGCCCACCCTCAAGCTTAACATCAAGCTCCAACATCAATTGACTAAAGAAACGTCATTACAGAACAAGGGTCAGGTCATGTAACAGCTCAAGCCCACCTTTAGCAGACATTGTCCTTTTTGAGCTTTCCACTTAAGGTTTCCATAGCAGGTGCGTTTTAAAAACTTCAAGGAGAAGCTCAGAAGGAAAAATCCAAAGAAGACAATATTTACTAGCGGTGGGCTTAAGTCGTTACAGGTCACCCCACACTTCATTTTGACTTGCAACTGACATTGTAAAGTTGAAGACATGGTAAAAGTGACATCAACTTCAGCCAGTGTGTAAGTTGGATATGTAGGAAGGTGTGTAGGTTATATCTGATGCTGCCCCCACCATAGTTAAAAGAGAGGGTGAAAATGAATGATTGTTGCTAAGGCTGGGTCAGCTGCTCCTGTAATCCATGATTAGTGCCCTGATTGTTATGTTCATAATCAATTTCACTGACATCAAAGTTACAACCAAGGTAATTATTCACTTAATTCTCTGCTGCTAGCTGGGAAAAGAAGAACAGAAGATGATCATCATTTAAAGTTTTCAATATTGCATCTTCCAGTAAATGCGTTTTAAAATTATGAGACTGACAGCAATACGTAATGGGTTAAAACGGACAATGTTTGTTAGCGGTGTGCCAGCGAGGACGCTAGGTCTTCAAAGAGGTAGATTGTGAGATCCCACGTCGGTTGGAGAACGAAGCATTCCTTATATAGGTATGAAAACCTCTTCTTAATAGACGTATTTTAAAATTATGAAGTTGAACGAGAGTGAGGTGCTTTTGTTGACCCAGTTGTGTGGAGTGCCGAGGACAGCACAGTCCACAAGGCAGCAGAAAGAGAGAAGGAAAAAGAGAAACGTTTTGAGTGTTAGAGGGCCACCAGAGAAGACATCTCCTGTGCTCCATGCATGTTCTCATTACAAACAGAGGAAAAGAAAAAGAGAAGTTGAAGGACCATTTGAATTGAATTGCAGATCCCCATGGCACCTTCTAATCTCAATACCAACTCATCTTTTAATAACCCTCAACTACTTGGGATGTTTAATTTTTTTTTTTTTTTTTTGGGACCTAACGATTCTGACACGATCAAAGTTATATCATATTTCTCTATTAAATTTATATTTTCTAGTCATTTTTTTCGTTGAAATGCATCAACTAACCAAGTTTAACTAGAAAATGAGAGAATTCCCACTACTGCTAGCAAGTCAGTTGGGGCATGAGCATAGTGAGAACGGACTTCCCAAAAAGTCAGCCCAAGATCGAAGTCTGCATAGAATAGGGAATGACCCTAATGTTGTGTTTGCAAAGCCAACTTCTTAAGTTGCGGTTGAAGAAGAGCGGACATAGAGACTTAGATTAGGGTTGACATCTACCAATCCACCTAGATCTCAACCAAGAAAAGTGTGATTTTCTTTCGTTATTTATACCAAACATAACACGTAGTAATCAATCATACATACCTTTAACCCAACAAATAAGACAAAAAAATCACGAGAATGTAAAAATAAGACAAAAAAATCACGAGAATGTAAGAACTCTTAAAGTTAAAGATTTTGAATTTTTTCAAAAAGAAAAATAGACGAAATTCAAGGTAAAAAATCCCCTGAATAAAAATTTTGGAACCCTCTTAAATTTGTAAAGAGAATAGCATAAATGTCTTCTCACATTAATAAAAAAAAAAAAAAAATCTTTTTGAAAATGGACCCATTTGAAAATAATGGAAACTAAAAGGACCCATTTGAAAATAATGGAAACTAAAAGGACCCATTTGAAAATAATGAAAACTAAAAGGACCCATTTTTTGAAGTTTCCCCCATACACTAATCAGTTCATAAAATCTACAGAAAGATGAAACATTCAAGTGAGACAAGTGGGTTTTCAATGGATTCATTTGGGGGCTGAATTTCATCATCTCCTTCCTCTCTTTTCTTGGTGGTCGCTATCTCTTGCAGCTCACCAGCAGCTCGTCCACTCCCTTTCATGGCACTGCTTTTCACATTCCCCCCCATCTTGTTCGTGCCTCCAACTGTTCGAGCAGCAGCTGGTGACCTCGAACGCCGCCCATGGCCGACTCCAGATTGCTGCTCGTGCCCTCCACTCAGCTTCTTCCTGGTCCTCGCTTCTCTTGATTCTGTCCTTCCCTGTGTGTTCCTGCAACTAACACGACACCTCTGTTCTCTTCTACATGATGGGTCGCCGGAATATGGACGCTTTCTGCGAATCTTTGGTGTTGTATTCCGACCAATTTCTCTGCTCTGTTTACTTGAGGCTTCGTCGCCTTCTCTTTGCTCTGAAATGGTGGTCGCCATTGACACGCTTTCGCTCATATTGCTGCACCATTCCGTAACCTGAGATGTCTCTGAAACTGAAGGGACACCCCCTTCCTCCACCTCAGGAGACTTGTCTTCTTCAAACTTTGGGACTGGTTTTTGCAGGTCACATGGCTTGGAAATGGGAGTATCTAAGGGGACTTCTTTGACGGTTTCGTCTTCCAGGGTTCCATTGCCGGGGATGTTTTCGACACGGGTGTCGATGGACCCCGGTAACGGACTTCTCATGGGACAAAGAGGCTGACCTCTGTCTATTGTTCTGCTAAAGCAACAACCCATGAGTGGTGAATGTGGGGAATGGAGATGGAAGCTGAATAGATTAGGATGTTAGAATTTGAAATTTTGAATTTAACGGTTGAGGGTAGTGAATTTGGGTGGGAAAGGAAAGCCACCAGGGCGAGAGAGTGGAGCTGTGGTAAAGCTTGGGAGTGAAATGGCTCAACGCCCAGTAAATGGAGAAGATACTAACTGTCAATGGAGTGTTTTTAACCAACTGCTGTCAAATTGTTCTTACCACTCATATAAAGGCACTTTACACTCATATAAAGGCACTTTACACTCATATAAAGGCACTATATATCGTCTGTCAAATTGTCAAATTGTTTTTACCGCTCATATAAAGGCACAATAAGTCTCTTCCGAACCGTATCTGTCAAAATGTTTTTACTACTCATATAAAGGCACTATACATCTCTTCCTAACCTTATCTGTCAAAATGTTTTTACCGTTCGTATAAAGGCACTATACATCTCTTCGTAACCTTATCTATCAAAATGTTTTTATGGCTCATATTGCCTATACATCTCTTCCTAACCTTATCTGTAAAGATGTTTTTACCGCTCATATAAAGGCACTATACATCACTCCCTAACCTTATCTGTCAAAATGTTTTTACCACTTATATGTAGGCACGATTCATCTCTTCCTAACATTGTCTGTCAAAATGTTTTTACTGCTCGTATAAAGGCACTATACATCTCTTCCTAACCTTATATGTCAAAATGTTTTTACTACTCATATAAAGGCACTAGACATCTCTTCCTAACCCTATCTGTCAAAATGTTTTTACCGCTCATATAAAGACACTATACATCTCTTCCTAACCCTATCTGTCAAAATGTTTTTACCGCTCGTATATAGACACTATACGTCTCTTCCTAATCTTATCTGTCAAAATGTTCTTACCACTCATATAAACGCACTATACATCTCTTCCTAACCTTATCCTTGCTCGAAGATGATGACTAGAGAAGAAAATTACCAGAGCCCTGTATGTCGACTCGATCACTATCCAACCTGCTTCTGCATTGGAATCCAAAGACTGAGGCTTTATCTATGAACAAGCAAGATGGTAAAGTCTACAAAAAACAACCAAATACAAATTCAATTTCAACATTGCAAGAATAAGACAATACCTCCCATGCTGAACAGCAATAACAGGAGGAAAGGGAAACGTTACTAACTTATTTGATAAAGCGAAGCAAAATAATATACATCTACAGCAGATCAAGAGCATTGGAATTTGACAAATGAGTGGCCAAACCAATCAAATCACAGGTTCATTTTGCCAATATGTTTAAGCTTAAATGCAACGTGGTTGCTTATGTAGGGATTGTCGGAGACAGATGACCAAATCAAGCTTGTGTAGGATGTGAACTAGAAGCTGCCCGATCTGATTCAATCATTGACTTGATATAGAATTCTCCTGCCTTGTATGAGGACCTAACCATTGGGCCAGATGCCACGTACCGAAAACCCTGTCACAACCAAACAGAAAATGGATTTTCAAATCATTGTTGTATCCTCAAGGCATGGCAAGTAACTCCATACATTGAGAACTATTGATCATGTGATACTTGATGGTGGAGATGAGGATTATGCATCACAACATGAACTAATATACCTAAAAGTAAAGCATCGACTCCCTCGAACAATTTGAATATAATACACATCAAACTACAATGGTTGAAATGGAAGATGGGATGGTATAGGAAATGCAAATCAAGACTATTCGCGAGCTATAAGAATAACAAAGATGGGAATATGATACCATACTAGAAATGAAAAAAAAAAAGTAGTCTTTAACCTTTAAAGACTTGATTAAACAATCCTTTGCAGAACAAAGAAGAGAATAAACGCAAACAAAATGTTCAAATAAAAAAAGAGAGTACCATTTTCATGCCAAGATTGTGATACTTCTCGAAAGCCTCAGGTGTAATGTATTCTGATACAGGCATATGACGCTTTGAAGGTCTCATGTACTGACCAAATGTCATCACATCAACTCCAGCAGCTCTCACCTTCTCCATTGTTTGCACGACTTGATCTGGTGTTTCCCCACAGCCTAACATAATGGAAGTCTTCGTAAGTGTTCCAGAAGGAGCAAACTCTTTTGCCATAACTAGAACATCTAATGATTGCTTAAAATTAGCACGATGGTCCCGAACTGCTCCCTGAAGCTCTTCAACTGTCTCTATATTATGAGCAAAGACGTCAAGGCCCGACTTTGCAACTTTCTCTACACTGCCAGGGTCTCCTCGAAAATCAGGGACTGCAAAATCAATTAGTTCAAGGAACATCAAAGAACAGATTAAATCATACTGGACAAAAGTAATCAGAATCAAACGAGCCTATGATGCTGATTTTTGTGACTGCACATACACACGGGTAAGTATGTAGCTTTCACTAACTTTCTAAGCTGGATTGGATGAAAACAAGATAGAATAACTCTCCCAAAAATCAAGTGTCACACAAGAATCCTTAAATGTAACAAGGAACGTGACACTAAGGAAACTGCTAGGGAATTCATACCCAACGCTTCGATCAACATATTTGGCTTCAACACCTTGAGTTTCTGCACGGTCTCTGCAAAATGACCACTCCCCTGATCAGGTAAATCGTCGCGATCCACACTAGTGATAACCACATAATCCAACCCCCATGATGCGATTGCCTCAGCAACATTTTGCGGCTCATTGGGGTCTGGTGGAGGTGGAGTTCGTGATGTCTTCACGTTACAGAACCTGGAGTGCAAATAATCCCAAAATAGCAAGGAATGAAAAGAATTCTAAGTGATTAGATGATATCATACTAATCAACAAGATCAATTCTATGACAAAAACAATTAGAGATTCACATTCCTCAGTAAATGATATACACTATGCACAGCACACACGAGAAGATATCATTCTTCAATCATCAAAAACACTGGAAATTAAGTAAACACAACGAAATGAATGAGTAAATTGAATTATGACTAGCCTGCATCCCCGGGTACAAGTGTCGCCAAGAATCATAATCGTAGCAGTGGCCGTGCCGGTTTCTCCACCAGACCAGCATTCCCCCAAATTAGGGCATTTAGCCTCCTCACAAACCGTATGAAGCTTCAATTCGCGGAGTTTCTTCTTGATTTGAACATACTTCTCGCCACCGGGCACCGATTCCTTCATCCATTTAGGCTTAGGAAGGGGCTTCTTCTTCGTACCAACCTCCACGGAATACGAATCAGAAGATTTCAGGCCGACGAAGTCAGAAAGCGTGGGGGATTCGGCAGCAAGTCGTTCCCGGAGTCCGGCCAAAGTCCGAGGGACTTGGGAGGAGGTAGCAGAGGCGGAGGTCGAGGAAGATGAATATGATAAGGATCTGCCAACGGATTCGAAGATTCGAGCAAGGCTATGGCGACGGGCGTTCATCGTTGAGCGTGAAGAAAGCCTCGCCGGAATTTGGATGGCTTCGAATTTATTTGGACAGTTGAAGGACACGGTCGTTCGTAAGGCGTTTTCAGCCAAGCTCCAAGAGTCGAGACCCCCACCAATTAGAGAAATTACCGCAATTACCCTCCTTCAAAACCCCTTTTGGCTTTTGTTATTTTACCCTTTCTTGTCCATTTCTAGTCAATTTCTTGGTTCCGGGTTGTAGTTGCCTGCGCGATTATAGCTCTCGGGTTACCTAAATGAACTTATACTATATCTGAATTAGAGTGATCATAAAAATAAAATGATCGTACAATACTTAAATAATTGAAGTTACTATCTATTCCAAGAAAGTGCACCTTCATTTTCAGGTCCGCTGACCCGGGGAAGAAACCATTTTTTACAAGTATGTGAAAATCTTCTCTTAATAGACGCATTTAAAAATTCTTGAGGGGAAACCCGAAAGGGAAAGGCCAAAGAAGACAATATCTGCTACCGATGGGCGTGGAAAGACACTAGGCCCCGAAGAGGGTAGATTGAAGATCATGGATTTATAAGTAAATTTTTGGAAACCAAAACCAAAGTCACAAGAGTTTATACTCAAAGTGGACTATATCATAGAATCGTGGAGAGTCGTGATTTCTAACATAGGTAACATGATCATGTCGCAGAGGATGTTAATAACTCGATTTTTTACTACCTATCTCGTTAATTTTTAAATAGGTTATAGTGTAAATTTCAAGGGGATAAAATAGATATTTGTTTGATATATTTAATTATATGTAGCATTGATTCTCTAAAGGCCGACCTTTATCCAAAGCATTGATTCTCTGTATTTTTTCTTAGATAAGTTTTAAATTTATTCTAATCATGTAGTTAAAATATAGTTGTTGCTTATTTTTATTAAATTTAAACTTAGGTTAAATTGGTGAAATATTATATTTCATTATTTTAATAATTTATATTAGAGGGTATTTTAAAGAAGATAAAAAAAAAGTCGGGTAATATTGATTACTGTGAGGTCTTAGTGCGGTAGAAATGAAAATTACCGTATGAATGGAGCTTATTGGGCCTGCTGCTGGATATTTGTGGCCCAATTTAGAAGTGGGCTTAGTCCATGAACATGGAATCAAAATTTTTTATTTTTGTTATACCCTAGCTAATGTTTTGGCACGATAATGTACCTAACCTTCGTGTAACAGTAATGGTAAAATTTATTTCAAGTAGAAAGAATGTTACTCGGAAAAAAATTGCTTATGGATGTGACCCGCTTGGATGCCAACAAAAACTTGAGTGTATCGAGAGTTTAGATATAAGGAAGAGTTTACCTCTTCTAGGTCTGACACAAACAACATGATATTGTCCACTTTTAGCTTAAGTTCTCGTGGAAATCCACCTCTAGACTTCCCCAAGATTTTAAAACGCGTTTGTCAGGGAGAGGTTTCCACACCCTTATAAGGAATGCTTCAGATCTCACAATCCACCCACCTTTGGAGCCCAGCGTCCTTGCTGGCACATTGTCTGGTGTTTGGCTCTGATACTATTTGTAACAACCCAAGTCTATCACTAGACACGTATGCTATGGGGAAGTTTCCACACTCTAGCCAAGCCTATTGCTAGACACGTATGCTATGGAGAGGTATCCACACCCTTATAAGAAATGGTTCGTTCCCCTTTCCAACCGATGTGGGATCTCACAACGAGACTGCAACGATCCTCAATGGTTGAAGATACAACTTTCCTCATCTATTATATCAAATACGTTTCCCTTACGAAATAACGTAAAGATGAATCTGATTGGATTGAACCTACATGCCCTAGTCAAGGGCTTTCATGACGTATATCCCTTGAGAGACCGACCATAGGATCAACTTTGGCCCTTTAACCCGACCGAAACAATCAACTCCAAAATTTAGAGATATAATAGATATTTTATTCGATTAATTTTATTATTATTATTATTATTTTTCAAGGAAGTAATTGATAGTAGTTTCCAACAAGGGATATTTTTGTGGGCCCTTCATGGGTGCATGTAGGGCCTCAAATGGTGTGTCCAACTATTCCCAGTTGTATATCACGGGCCCATTAGTATAGTGTGAAAGCTATTTATCATAATAATTAACTTTAATTATCCCAACAATTATTGTACAACAAAGTTACTATCCATAATTTACTTTAAAATTTTATTTATTTATTTATTACCGAAATCGCCCTTAATTTTTTATGTTATATACATAAATTTTAATTTTTTAATTAATATATTAAACTAAAAAATAGTAAATAAATTATGGAAAAAAAATCACATTTATTCTAGTTGTCACGTTGTAACGTTCCACATTGGTTGGGGAGGATAACAAACCACCATTTATAAGGGGTGAAACTTTCTCCTAGCAGACGCGTTTTAAAGCCTTAAAGGTAAGCCCGAAAGGGAAAGCCCAAAGAAGACAATATCTGCTAGCGGTAGATCTGGACCGTTACAAATGGTATCAGAGCCAGACACCGGACGATGTGCCAGCCTTCTCAATGTTCTCCGAAGGGGGTGTACAAATGGTATCAGAGCCAGACACCGAATGATGTGCCAGCCTTCTCGATGTTCTTCGAAGGGGATAGACACGAGGCGGTGTGCCAGTAAGGACGCTGGGTCCCAAAT